CATCTGTATCACATGTTTACTATTCTTGTAAAACTTTCCCTGAATCTTCCAGCTCCAGGGGATGATGAGAGTTATTTTAGAGCCTCTCATTGGTCAAACACCGCTGGTGGGAGGTGTAAATTTTTTCTTCATTCGCCGCCCTGTAAGTGGCCACAGATTTTCTCGGTGTGGAGTTGTGAGAAGTGTAGTTGTGTGTTTAATATTATCTAAAGCGCTCTTTTTTTTTCAGACATTAAAAATAAACTGGACTGGCATGACAAACCTTTTGAGCAGCCCTGCCTTTAGGTCAGAGAATCTTTAAAAATAATCCTATTATTACCGATTCGTCCAGAATTTTTGATGTTTGCTTGTCTCACTCAATCTTTCGCCTTACAGTTCACTGTCAGAGGAGACCATCATGAACATCATTGCTTCTTTTATAGTGTTGCCCAACCGCATGTGTATTCCCCTCATAGACCAGGTCAAAATGGACCAAATGAGGTTTCCACTTCCTCGTGTATGTACCATCACATTTCCAATTCACACATTTAGCTTCACCTTATAACCAGCAGCTACTTGGATTTTTTTATAAGCATAGTGCATTTTAAGATAAAAAAAACATGTTAACTATTTGCTCTTTAAACCTATTTTTACCTTTACTTGTTACTTATACAAAGACACTATCATTAATATGAATCTTGTGTTTTTTCCTCATAGGGGGTGGTGAGAGTCCACTTGCTGGAAGCCAGGGACCTGCTGGCTATGGACACATACGTGATGGGTTTAGTGAAAGGCAAATCAGACCCCTATGCCACACTCAGAGTGGGCAACATACACTTCAAAAGCAAGACTGTGAAAAAGAATCTACATCCAAGATGGAATGAAGTGTATGAGGTAGGCTAACACGAATTCCCCCACACAAAATTCAAACACATGACTGTATTTCATACCCTGTAATGCTGGGTGCAGTGTTGGTCAAGTTACTTGAAAAAAGTAATCAGTAACTAATTACTGATTACTTCCCCCAAAAAGTAATCCCGTTACTTTACTGATTACTTATTTTCAAAAGTAATTAATTACTTAGTTACTTAGTTACTT